GGGGCTTCACCGCGGAACTGCTGGGCATGAGCTGCGGGTGTCCTGGAGGGTCTCAGAGGCTCCCAGGGGACCCTGGCTCCATCAGCCAGCGCTCCCTGTCAGCCTTCTGTCCCCGCCATGAGAGCAGGTATGCTCCGTGGCCTGGGCCGGTGTGGGGGCACTGAGCAGCACAGCTTCCTCCTGGCACCCGAGCCACATGCGCACCTCGTGCCTTTTGCTTTCTTTCCTCAGGCACCCAAAAAGAAAGTCGAGAAAAAAGGGAAAGGGAGCAAAGCACCAGCAGTGGTGGATGCCTTGTCCCCGGAGGAGATGAGTAAGGAGCAGGTGAGAGATCAAGAACAAGCAAGAACAGCGTTCGGGACCCTGGATCGGCACCTGGCTCCAGGGACGACAGGTGGCGGAGGGGGACAGAGACAAGCAGCCGGGGTTCATTGCACTGCCTGACGCATGTCTGGGCTCTGTGGGGGGTTTCTCACTGTTCCTGGAAGGAGCAGCCCCTTCATCCCACCCTCCCTTCTGCTGGTCCGGGGCACTCTGCTCTCCAGCCCTGCGCCCTCGCTGTCTTCTCCCCGACTCTGTAACCCCACCAGCCTGCTCAGGCAGGTGTTGGCTCAGCCTGGAGCTCTGTGATTGCAGCCTGCTGCGCTCTCAGTCACGTTGCTGCTGGGGCAGGAGGCTCCCATAGGCGCGGGGAAGGCAGGCAGAGGTGGAAGGTGCAGCCGCTGCCCCTCGGTTGCCCCAAGTCCTGCTTGTTTTGCCGGATGTCCTACAAACAGAGGAGGAGATGGCCCTGGCCTGGGGACCTCGCTCCTGGGATAAAATCTTGCACATCTCAGTGCAAGCAGTGTGCCCAGGTGGCCAAGAAGGCCAACAGTGTCCTGGCTTGTATCAGAAATAGCGTGGCCAGCAGGACTAGGGCAGTGATTGTCGCCCTGTACTGGGCACTGGTGAGGCCGCACCTCGAATACTGTGTTCAGTTTTGGGCCCCTCACTACAAGAAGGACATTGAGCTGCTGGAGCGTGTCCAGAGAAGGGCAACGAAGCTGGTGAAGGGCCTGGAGCACAAGTCTGATGAGGAGCGGCTGAAGGAACTGGGTTTGTTTAGCCTGGAGAAGAGGAGGCTGAGGGGAGACCTCATCGCGCGCTACAACTGCCTGAAAGGAGGTTGTAGCGAGGTGGGGGTTGGTCTCTTCTCCCAAGTAACAAGCGATAGGACAGGAGGAAATGGCCTCAAGCTGTGCCAGGGGAGGTTTAGATTGGACATTAGGAAAAATTTCTTGACCGAAAGGGTTGCCAAGCACTGGAACAGGCTGCCCAGGGAAGTGGTTGAGTCACGATTCCTGGGGGTATTTACAAGACTGTGTAGATGTGGTGCTCAGGGACATGGTTTAGTGGTGGACTTGGCAGTGCTGGGTTAACGGTTGGACTTGGTGATCTTAAAGGTCTTTTCCACCCTCAGTGATTCTATGATTCAGTAGTATTTAGGCACCTGAGAATGGTGTTACCAGACACTGCGAGACAGAATATCTGAGCCCGGGCTGCTTACAGCAGGATAAGGTTTTGTTACTCCTTTTCCAGAGGCTGATGGGTTCTGTAGGGTCCAGGCTGTGTCAGGGCTTCTCCCCTTCCCTCCTGCGCTTCTCCGTCCCCATAACAGCCACTGTGTCCTGCCAGGTTTGCGACACAGCTTGCCACGGGTGTCTTGCAGAGGCGTCTCTCCGAGGCCTCCTTTTCCGCCTACCTGGCTCTTCCCCTTGGCTTTGCAGCTGGAGAAGCACATTGCGCGTCTCCGGGAGGAGCTGGACCGGGAACGGGAAGAGCGCAACTATTTCCAGCTGGAGCGTGACAAGATTCACACCTTCTGGGAGATCACCCGCCGGCAGCTGGAGGAGAAGAGAGCAGAGCTGCGGAACAAGGACCGGGAGATGGAGGAGGCGGAGGAGCGGCATCAAGTGGAGATCAAGGTGGCAGGGGAGAAGGCTGGGAGGTGTTACGAGTGCCCCAAGCTCCGGATGAGCCTTGGGCAGCTCTGAGGAGGAGAGGGAAGGGGGAAGAGGAGGAGGAGCTGGGTGGGATGTAAGCCAGCAGTGTCTTGGCCAATATCCCAGCTCTGGTTGTCTCCAGCTG